TGTATGTGGGAAGCAAAGAACTGTGAAAGAATAAATGTAAGCTCATTTTTTTTTCCCCTCTGCCATCTTCATTCCCTGGCTAAAGTGGATACTGAACATTTTCTCACAGAAGCCCTGATTTCTTACAGTTTTCATTTTCGGAAAGCAAATAAGCTGAAAGAGTTTGGCCATTTGACAAAAGCAGTGTTTTGCCCACCCCCTCTTTCTGCTGTAGGAGTTTAGCTGTCACTGTTTTCTGAAACCTCAAGTCTGCCCAGTGAGGGAAAATAAGGCCGTTTCATGCTCGTTCTCAAGTTAAGCCATTTCAAACTCATTTTTGGCTACAAGGTGCCTGAGCTGTTCCTACAGTTGAGAAGAGAATCCACTTACCTTGAGGTTCACATTCTGCATGGTTCTTGGCCGGTGTAAATGGCAGCGCGTGACATGTGTCACAGGCAGGAATCCTGGCTAAATGCATTGCTGGGGCAGGGGTAGGATTTGATGGTTCTGCAGCCAAAAAAGGAAAAAAGATAATAACTTGAAACACAAAAATTGGCACACACGGCAGTGATTTCTGGCTTTGTTTTCTGCGAGCCATGGTAGGAAATGCATTTTCCATCCTGACCCATTCTCTGGTTATGTGAGCGCATGAGATTTGATACCATTTCACAGAGCAGTCCCTATGCCACGTGCCGGTTGTGCTTTATTTATTAGTGCATTTAAAAAGACACTCGTTGCTGTGATGACCCAATTCTGGATTCTGACCTGCATTTTGAAAACCACTGTGCTAATGGAATGCAAAGATTTTGATGTTTACTGTCTCATTTCTCCCCTTAGCTGCGTGAGGTAGGGGGAAGGAAGGAACAAAGATGCGACCGTAACATGCCTGTGTATCTCACTGTGACTTGTTGTAATGAGCGGTAGAGTGGTGAAGGGGCAACCGATAGGCAAGGGGTTGGAAGTTCGGATTCTGAGTCTGAGCTTTGCTGTTTCTGAACCAGATGGTCTTAATACAGAGCATGGCTTGAAGTCTGAGAGCTCTCGAAACCATCTCATCCGGCTCTTTCAGCTTTTAAGCCTTTATTAAGAACAATGTAAGGTATGGCCTAGTTAAGTTGTGTGGAGCATCAGTTTAATGTAGGTTTAAAGGGAAAACGAGAACCAGATGTGTGTCACACAGTCCTGGCACAGAACAGCGGGTAAGGCACTTCCCCTGCATGCAACCAACCCAGGTTTGATCCCAGCATCCTGTATGGTCCCTTGAGCACCGCCAGGAGTGCCAGTACCACGGGTAAGGCACTGCCCTTGCACGCAACCTACTTGGGTTTGATCCGAGCATCCCATAGGCACCCCCCCACCCCCCAAGCCAGGAGCCAATTTCTGAGCACAAAGCCAGGTGTAATCCCTGGGCATCGTTAGGTGTGTCCCAAAAACATACAAAAAGAGAAAGCCTGCACCCCCAACACAGAGTGATCTCCGTCTCCCTCTAAGCTCAGCTCTTTGTAGCGCTGGAGTGAGTGTCCTCAGAGCCTTCAGCCTCACCATCTGTCTCTAGGATGTAATTAATGACTGATGTAAGGAAAAGTTGCAAGTATATTTTATCCCCCTCCTGGGCTCTGTCTTCTCTGTCTGTGTGTCCTACCTGGTGGGCCCCTCTCAGGTCAGTGCATAGGGCCTGAGCCCAGCACAGGCTTCCCTCCCGCCCCCCTGTCTTTTGAGAGAGGAAAGAGTTCTTTCTTTGATTTGAGGCTTGCTCTTCCCTGTGCTTATGTCTCGGAAAGTTCGTCTCTTGAGAGAATCGTGTTTGAATCTCGGGGACTGATTCTGGTCCAGACCACTAAGTCAAGCTGATGAAATGTGTTTGTCACCTGGGAGCCGGCAGGGGTCTGGTGACTTCCCTGTCCTTCCGAAGTCAGCAGGATTGTCTTGGAATCCCTCACAGCAGTGCCTGACCCCTGATTATTACCTGAATAGGGACGGTTATATGTCCTCGGCGGCTTGAAACCAAACTTGTTTGAGGAGCCGCTTAGAAGAGGTGCTGCGGGCAAGTGGGCAGGTGGGCGTGTGGGTATTCCTGTAGCATTCCTTATCCAGCTGGGTGGCTCGGGGAGCGGGCATTTGGCAGGGTGAGAGGATGTTCGTTGAGAGGAACTTTGAGGGTTCTAATTAGAGGGCCACCGGTAACTTCAGGTGGGAGATGGGTTCTGCCCGGGGGTCTTCCACATGCCAGAGCCTACTGAGAGTGGACACCTCCAGGTGCGGAGAAGTGTGAGGGGCTGGAAGGGCTTGGAGGAAGACCCCCCTGGAGGACCCAGGCAGGCCTCCTCTTCCCGAGCGGCTGGCGCAGGAAACCAGCTCCCACTAGGTGGCGCACGCGGCCCGCCGCTCCTGCGCTTCACCATCAAGCTCTTATTTTTCAGAAGATAGTAACGTATTGTTTCGAAAGCTGTAATATAGTGTGAAACCTATTTTACTATGTTATTTTAGAAAGTGGTAAAGACCTGCCTGTGGAATCCAGAGTCTGTTTTCCGTGGGCCGCGGCTGCCTGTTTTGGTCCACGTGGGGTCAGGTCCAAGGCGTGGTCCTTGTCGGCGTGTTTTTATAAGTACAAGTTTCGTGACGTCGCTTTATAATGATATTTTAATGCCCCTTAAGCAGTGGGGATTTTTTTCCCCTTTGTTTGTATCAACCACTTGAAATTTCGTCTCTTAAGAAGTCTTAGGATTGTGTTTCTTACTATCATGTTGCTTTTAAACCGTTGTGGCTGGTTATTGCCTTCGTTTTCTGTTGTGCTTGTGTGGCTGGGGGTTCTGTGTGGGCACGGGTCCAGGTAACGGGGGGTTGGGCTGGTCATTGCCCTGAGTTGCAGAGAGGCTCAGAGGAAGACCGGGGCCCCAGCACAGGCTCTTCCAAACCCGGGGCAGGAAGGAGGAAACAGAAGCAGGTGAGGCCTGGCCGGCCCTTGCTCCACCTCCCATCCCACCTCCAAGCAGGCCTGGGAGGACCATCAGCGTGGCGGCAGCAGGCTCAGAGAGCGCTCGGTCTCTGCCTGCCCTCTGCTCAGAACTGCGCCCGTAGGTGCCCGCTGCGGCTCTTTCCACACTGCCTCTGGGGCCTCGGCTCTAGCTGGTGACTCCTCCGAAAGGCAGCTCACAGCGGCAGGTTGTTGATTTAATAGATTTATTTGCCATGAAATAAGTCAGCAAGGTCGATTAAGATCCAGGGTGTGTTTTCCCGTCCCGCTCCCCTGCGGTGGACGGGGACAGGCATGTGGTGACAGGCTGTCCCATGCTGAGTGGGTCTCCTGGTTTCACCAGCTCTGGTTCCGTGAGGGCATGGCATTATTAAGCAGGTGATCCCTGCATTGCCTAGCCCACTCGCCCCAATACAGATGAACAGGGTAGGGATTGGAAGGTGCCTTTCAATTGTCCCTCAGAACTGCCCCTGAGGGACTGCAGAGCTGGTGAGGCTATTTCCTGGCTGCTGACCAGTGTCCCTTCCAGTCCCGGGGGACAGAGCAGGTGAGGGGGTGACAGCTGGTGCCGGGTGATTGCAAACAAATGTAGCAAGGCCCTGAGGAATCTATGAAGGAAAGAGATGTATATCCCGTCTTATCTGGCTGCCACCCTTGATGTCATTGTTGTTGGTTTGTTGGTTTAAAAGTCACTTCTAGGACTGTTTGAGTGTAATATGCCAAAACATTAATTGTAGTTATTAAGGTATAGCTGATCAAAACAAATCATGACGATAGATCTCCAATATAAGAAAACTGTTGAAAGAATATTTTTAAATGTAGGAGTTCACTCCTTAAAAAAAAAAAGGCAGAAATATGGTTCTGGAGAAAGGGGTCGCTGTGGCGTGTGTCAGTCCCTCGGCATGGGCTCAGGACGAGTCAGCCTGGCATTCCCGGGCTTCATGCTGCAGTTCTCTCTCTGATTTCTACCCGTAGATGAAGCCTCTTCCTTGGTCCTGCTCAGCACTCACACCCTAAGCAGGAGGAAAGAAGTTTCCGCTTCTCTGAAGGGCAAGGTATTGGCACCGAGCCGGGCCAGGAAGCCCCTCTGTCTGCAGCGGGGCTGTGGAGCTGGGCGTGTCTCATTTCTGCCCAGGACTGCCCCTTGGGCACTAAGGACCAGCCGTCGGCAAGGATGTCTCCCTGGGCTCCTCCTCCCACGCCAGCCACCCATCTATCTCCTGGGGACCAACTTTCGTAATAAAGCTACAGTCTTGAACCCTGGGGGCCAAGAACGGGCTATATTCTCTCACTCAGCGTTTCTTTTTTGCATCTGAGTACGCCAAGATTTAGAGAGTTTGGGTGACTCAGCCAAAATCGTGCCATGGAGGGCGGCACCAGGCTTTGGCGCTAGATTGATCTATTATCTGTGTTTGTGCGGTTGCGGTTTGCAGGCATTTAACCAGTGCATGTTAAACCAGGCCTGTGACCTGGCTCCTTTCACCCTGCTTCTACTCAACAAGCATCAGGTGCTGTTAGACTTGAAGTAGCATGTGTGGTAAAACCTGGGGAGGGGGGGGTGGAAATGTGTAGATAAATGATTTTTTTAGTTAGCCGTTGACAAAGTGGGAAACACCCAGGCAAGCGTTTGAGGGGTTTCCTGCATGTATCAAGGGAGAAGGAAGGAGGGAGGGCAAAAAAGGACCCGTGAAGCCCATCTGTTTTAAGTCTTGCAAATGGGCCAAGTTTCGTGAGGTGGAGCTGGGTTGGAAGTGGCAGATATTCTTTCGGTTACTTTTTTTTTTAATATATTTTTATTTATTTATTTTTTCTTTTTGGGTCACACCTAGCGATGCACAGGGGTTACTCCTGGCTCTGCACTCAGGAACCACCCCTGGCGGTGCTCAAGGGACCATATGGGATGCTGGGAATCGAACCCAGGTCGGCCGCTTGCAAGGCAAACGTCCTACCCGCTGTGCTATCGCTCCAGCCCCTCTTCCGGTTACTTTTGATGATTTGAACATCCATTCTAACCTCGGCTGCATTGTTCTTCTTTCCACCCTCTTAGGGTTTCCTGAAAAATGAGAAGGACAATGCCCTGCTGTCGGCCATCGAAGAGTCCCGGAAGAGGGTAAGACGGGGACATGGAGTGTGATGGGGGCTCCAGGTGCAGGGTGCTGCAGGTGTATCCCCGCCCAGCTCCCTGGCGTGGCTTGTCAGGAGGGGTTCTCTGGGAGACTGTTTGGGGGGACGGGGGACTTGGAGCCACACCCAGTGGTGCTCAGCTCAGTGCTCAGGGGCCACTCCTGGGTGTCCAGATGTGGTGCTGGTAATTGAACCAGTCATATGCAAGGCTCGCGCCTTCACCCCCGTACTATCTATCCTCTGTGACACATTTTTAAAGAAAATACCGTGCTGGTCACTCTGTGTTTTTTGGCTGAAACGCTTCTAAGACTCAGCCAAGTCGTTTAAATTGACTTAAGAAATGGAAGTGACAGAATTCTTTGGGTTCAGTTTTTCCCCTCTTACCACATGACTTTTGACTTTCTGCACTACCTTTTATGTTAACGGTTTCTTGGGGCTTTTTGAAAAACAACAGCCATGAGGAGTGAGCGCCTTTGGGAAAAGAAAGGAAGGGGGAGCACGTTGGCCAGAGCAGCTGCAGTGCTCCGACGCTCCCTCACGCCACCCGAGGCAGTTCACTCCTGTGACTTAGCGCCATTGTTTCTGAAAAGCACTGAAGGATCAGACTGCTCCCCAGAATCATTTTCTGGCAAGCTATTTTCAGGCCTCTGGGGTCACTGGGGGAGAGAGGAGGGGCCTCAGTTACCACGCGGGGCGGCTCTGAGCACTCGCTCAGGTTGGCCCCGGAAAGGGGGCCAGGTCTTGTTCTGTTGTCTTTTTCCAAATGAAGTATACTTACATAGGGGTGTGTGTGTGTATATATATATAATAAAGGACAGTGAGAAGCATGATGCTTCACTGTCCTTTATTAAAATACTTTGTGCAGGTAGAAACGGGCAGGAGGACTGAAATGAGAGAGGCGGGGATGTGGGAGGGGGCTCTCATGCCGACTTAGAAGGAAATGTTTCAGAGGCATTATTAGAACGACTGGGAAGGCTTAATTATCAGAGTACAGATGCCAAAAGTGTCATTAATTACATTTTTGGCAACAACACTTATTCCTGGAAATAGAGAAATTTTCATTTGTTTCAGATTTGAAAGTATTAAAAACAAGACACCCCCACCCCCACTCCCTCACGCGTCCATTTTGGTCGTTGACCGCTGTTGCGTCTCCCGCTGTGAAGGGCCAGCGAAATGGAATCAGGGTTGCCGAATGCCATCAAGCCTTCGGAATCCACTTACCCTGTGGAATGTGTTTCTGGAATTGGCAGTCCCTGAACATTGTGCCATACTGAGACTAGATGTGCAGCCAGCCAAAACATTTCAGTGACATACCACAGTGCACATTGTGTGCATATGTGTTTGTGGGCGAGCGATTCCGGCGCCAGGAACTTGGGGGGGGTGGGGGTGAAAGGGGGGTCGGACGGGGCCTTCACATACCTGGAGACCGGAGCCCGCCGCTGCTGAGTGAGAAATCATATTTATGCAGAAGGTGAGTGGCCTCCTGGCATTTTGGTGTCAGTTTCATGTCTGGATAACTTGCCAATGGCCTTGCTGAAATGCCAAAAAAAAACAAGCTAGGAAAATACAAATGTGTCTTCTCTTTTACCCGTTTGGTGCATCCCAGCAAAAACAGAACAGCAGTATCAGAACATATGTAGAGTTTCTGGAAGCCAGCAAGTGCTCAATAATAAATGGAGAGAAAGCATATTGCCTCTTCCCTCTCTGAAAGTGGGGTTCGCGAGCCCCCCGCCTGGGCTGCTGCCGGGTGCCCGGCGGCCCCCGTCCTCCTTCCCACAGGGAACTGCAGAGCTTCGAGTCTGACTTACCAACAATGTCTCCCCTGCTCTGCCACGCCGTGTGCATTGTCGGGGTGCCCCGGTGGCACCCACAATCAGCGACCCTTGACATTTTCTCCTCCCCTCGGTCCTTTCCCACCTGCCTCCCAGTCGCCCCATGGATTCGGTCCTCTGCTGACGTCCTTCTCTGCCCCGAATCTGGCTCTGTCCTGGCTCTCGCGGGAATAGGCCAGGAGAGGACAGATGGGGGGCTCGTCATCCCTGATTAGCCCACGGATTGGATAGTCCATTATCGCTAATGAAATTCGGATAAGATGGGGGGTGGAAGTGGGGGGGCACGGTCAAGGGAAGAGCGTTTTAATGTTGGGCCATTTATTTTTATCCAAAGCTCCTTATCCCCTGATGATGAAGGGGCCACGGTGCGGTTTGTTGAGGCAATGGGGCTTTTTCTGAGTGAGGGGCCTGACACGCTCCTCAGACGGAGCCGCGGCTCAGAGGCCAGACGCCTGCCGACTTCCAGGGGCTCCCGTGTGAGAGCAGCCCGAGTTCTTGGCACAGAGATGGGCAGCCCGAGAACGTGAATGGCCCACCCCAGGCGCCCTGCTGGGCGTCCGTCCCTCTCTTCTTTGCTTGCCGCCCATCGTCCTGCTTGTTTTCATTACTCGAAGGACTGATGTTGCGATCTAAAGTTTGTTTTCGTTTGTTTGGGGGCCAAACCCAGGGCTTGCTCCTGGCTCTGTGCTCAGGGCTGACTCCCAGCCAGCCTCGAGGGACCGTAGGCGGTGCTGAGGTCACCGGTGCCCGAGGCAAGTGCCTTACCTGCCGTCCTGGCTCCCTGGCCCCAGAGAGCTGGTCTCTAAGAAAAGCTGTGACACTCCTCTGTCAGTGCCCGGCTTGGCGCCTCTCCTGGTGAGATGGGGACAGCTGCTGGTCACCGCCCGCCTCTCCCACCCCTCACTGCACCTGCCCCGGGCCCCTGCCACAAGGCCCTCTTGCTCAAGGGCACGGAGGTGATATTTGGATCATTAAGTAGGAAGAGTTTCAGGGAAAAAACCAAAACCACTGGTTCATTATGTGCTACTTCTGGATACCGTCTAGAGAAACCAACTCTTATGCCCTCCTGCCTCCCCTCACTTCTGTGCAAAATACATAAAATGTTTGAGTTCCCTGATAGCACCAGCAGAAAGGAGTTTTCTTAGGGTTTTTTTTTTTTTTGGCTCAGTGCTGACTGACAGGAATGAGCCATTCTGACTTTTCTGTGGGAAGAAAACCAGGGAGATTGCCCTTTTTCCCCTGTGTCATCCGAATACATATTAGAAAAGTGCTCAACTTGTGCATGAGCCACCGTCAAACTCAAGTTGTGGCACCTTTCTCCCTTGTATATGGGGGACGGGGAGAGATAGAGAGAGAGTCTGACTTTTTCCCCCCACATTTTTTAGAGCTTTTTTTTTTTTATTTAAAGTTTTTTTTTTTTTAATTGGTTTTGGGCCACACCTGGCAGTCTCAGAGATTACTCCTGAGTCTGTGCTCAGGAGTGATCACTCTTGGTGGTGCTCAGGGAACCATATGTGATGCTGGGCTTTGAACCAGGGTCAGCTATGTGCAAGGCAGCACCCTGCTCATTGTACTATGTCTCTGACCCTCTCATTCCTACATTTGAATAGCTAGTGCTCCAAACTTAAACATTCCATTTGCAGAATATGTGGTTTTTCTGTTTCCCAAAGCTCATGTATATGGATATTTTCAGTATAAATGATCCGCCTTGCCAAAAATAAAGCAGGCATTACTAATACTCATTCCCTTGGTGCTGCCTAATTACATGCCAATCTGATTGTCAACGAAAAGTGGGCCTGAGCTGATGGGAGACCTGGTCTGCCAATTAAAGATTAATAGACTAAGAATGTCATGGTTCGGAGTCTCTGCTTAAGTTGCTTTTAATTTTTTACTGTTTTTTGTTTTGTTTTCTCCCTTGCTTCTTTTCTCCTTCCTTTCCTTCTCTTTCTTTTCTCTTTTTCTTCATCTTGCCTTTGTTTTGGCAGCAAGGTTCAGGGTCCTGAGTAGATAGGCAGGAGGTTTCCCAGACTTGCCCTGGGTGACTGAGTAGGGAGGTAGGATAGCACATCAGAGTGGCCTCTCTGGGTCTCTCTCCCGCCCGCCCTCCCTCCCTCCCCCCTCCCTCCTTCCCTCCCTCCATCCTGCACACTCCCTCTCCCTCTCTCTCTCCCTTCCTTACCATGCTCATGAAGCCCAGGGACCACTCCCAGCAAGACTTGGCAGTCTGGTCAGTGGTTTGATGCTAGGTCTGCGGTGCTAGGGGCCTGGCGATGCTCTGGAAGTGTCATGCACCCTGACCCCTGTCCTATCCCCCAGCCCCTCAGGTTTATTGTACTGCTTCCTACTGGGAAAGATTATGTTTCTTTAAAAAATAGTCACTAGAGGAATCTTTCTTTCTTTCTTTCTTTCTTTCTTTCTTTCTTTCTTTCTTTCTTCCTATGTAGGAGTACTGCTATTTATTCAGCCACTGATTAGGCTGATTAAATTGGGCATGAGCTCCATGGGAATCTTATTTCTGTCTTTTCTTACCTTAGATACTTATTAAATGTTTATTGCTATTTCATAAGTTTTTAAGTATCCACTGTTTTATGGACAATAGGGGGAAAAAACTCAGTTTAAACTTGGATATCAATTATAAATACGTAGTCAGTTTCACAGATTTTGAAAAGATTTACCTTAATACGTATGTGGGAGGGAAAACCTTCAACATTTTAGAATTCACATTCAGCAATGTTTTGGAAAAAACTAATCATTAGGGAAATACAAATTAAAACCACAATAAGGTGCCACCTTACACTTCCTAGGATGGTGACTGTCAACCCCAGATCCCATCCCACCCCTAGAATCACCAGAAGTGTTGCTGAGGGTGCAGAGAAGTGCAAACCCTTGTATGCTGGTGGCGGGACTGTAAAATGGGCAGTGCAGTCTCTGCAAGCAATAATTTAAAAATTAAAATATTAAAAATTTAAGCTCAGAGATCCAGCAGTTTTGCTCCTGGGTGTTCCCGAAGAATTGGAAGCAAAGTTCCATTTTTATGGCAGCATTATTCAAAATAATCAGGAGGTAGAAGCAACACAAACGTGCTTGTATGCATGTGGGGCCGGAGAGAGAATACAGCCAGGAAGGCGTGTGTCTTGCAGACAGCTGACTCAGGTTTGATACCCGGCACCACCCCCCCAATATGGTCCCCTGAGCCCCACTGGGAGTGATCCCTGAGCACCGCCAGGATGGTGCACAAAGAGTCTGGATGAGTGGGTAAACAAAATAGGGCATCTAACTCCATGCAGTATTATTACTCATCCTTAAAAAGGAAGGGAATTTTGCACATAATACAACATGGATGAACATTGAGGACATAATGCCCAGTGAAACAGGCCTGCTGCCTCAGACAGACAGATGTACTGATGCCGTGTTAGCCCTGGGAGAGTGGTAGGAGGGGGAACTGGAGCTCAGGGCTTCTGGCTGTGTGAACAGGGGTCATTCCCGGCACTGCTTAGGGGAACGTGTGTGGTGCCGGGAACTGAGCCCGAATCGGCGGCTACACAGCCTGCACCCTCTCTCCAGCCCTGACTCTGCGACTGGGAGGCATGGAGAGGTACCGGAGCCATGGAGACAGAAGGTCGTTGCCAGGGGATGGTTGCCAAGGGGCTGGGGAAGGAGGAGGTGGAGTTCTTGTTTCAGAGATGGAGAATTTCAGTTTCTCAAGATGAAAATGGTTCTGTGGTTGCACAGTCGTGGCGCTCAAGTACTTAAGGAGCTGAACTGAACTTTCTGGGGGTGCTTTTAATTTTTGAGTCACACCTGGCGGAGCTCAGGGGCTACTCCTGGCTCTGCCCTCAGGGGTGACTCCTGGTGGTGCCCAGGGGACCGTGCTGGGGATCCAACCCGGGTCAGCTGCATGCAAGGCTGGTACCTTCCCCACCATACTCTCTCTCCGGCCCCTGAGCCGAACATTTCGAATGGCAAATTTTATCTTGTGTCTTTCCTTCCACAAAATTCCAAGTTGTTACTGCTTTAAAGTCCATGAACTGGGGCTGTTGCCAACAGTTGTCAGGAAGCTCCTCCCAGATAACCCATAAAGCGGATGGGTTTTGCTCTGCTCTCGGGGAGCGCCGGGGACCCCGAGTCCCAGCCGGCGGTGCGAGACGCTGTCCTTGCTGCTTCCTCCGGACAGACCTTCGCCATGGCTGAGGAGTACCATCGAGAGTCAATGCTGGTCGAGTGGGAGCAGGTGAAGCAGCGGATCCTCCACACACTGCTGGCCTCGGGGGAGGACGCCCTGGACTTCACTCAGGAAAGTGAGGTAGGTGGCGTCCCCAAAATAAGCAAGAGCGCCCGCTTCTCCGCCTCGCTCCCGGCCGTCTCGGCCCGGTCCCTCATGACCTCCCCCTCACCACTCTGCGTCCCAGGTCTCCTGGATGCCGGCATTTGCCTGGGTTTCTCCCAGGGCCTCTGGCTGCTCCTCACCTGCCCCTACCCCTGGGACCTCCCTTGTGTTTCTCCTTCCGCCTCTGTCCTCTCGATCTCATCCTGGCTCGGGGCTTTAAAAACACCAGCCCTCTTGGGACGCTCTGATTTACACCTCCTGCCCCGAGCCCCAGACCCCTTCTGTCGTGGCCTGTTCGGTTCTGCTTGGCTGTCCCTTACCTGACTCGGGCTCAGCTTGGCCAGGGTGGGATCCGGAAGCAGCTGCCCTCCCACCCCCACTCCCACCCCGCTGCTGCCCTCCCCACCTGACTTTTTTTCTTTGCTGTCCTTCTTGTTTGTTTTGGTGGGGGCCACACCCGATGTGCTTGGGACTTCCTCCTAGCCCTGTGCTCAGGGATCTCACTCTTGGCAAGGCCCCGGGGACCATCTGAGGTGCTGGGAATTGAACCCGGGCCAACCAGGTGCAAGACAAGTGCCCTCCTGGTCCTGGGCCAACCAGGTGCAAGACAAGTGCCCTCCTGGTTGTCCTGTCTCTGCCATACCCTCTCCCACCTTTCCTTCTTACAGATGGTCATCGTTACAGATGAAGTTTCCGTGTTGTGCTTTCTTAGGTCAGAAACCTCAGGTTCCTTCGTGTCTTTCACTTCTCTCCCATAGTCTGCCTCATATGTCGACAAATCCAGTCAATCTCATCCTCAAGGTGGAGCCAGAACCCAAAGTAATACCACATCTCTCTCTAGTCCAAACCACCAGTTCTCACTCAGAAGATCAAACCTCAGGGGGTGCCGTGGGCCACATCTGCAGTGTCAGGTGCTGGGGGCGACTTCCCTCTCCATGTTGGGGGCTAGGGTGGGCCACATCTGCGGTGTTGGGTGCTGTGGGCGACTTCCCGCTCTGTGTTGGGGGCTGGGATGGGCCACATCTGCAGTGTCAGTGCTGGGGGTGACTTCCCTCTTCGTGTGTGGGGCGGTGGGGGAGGCTGTGCTGTCGGCCTGAGCCTTGGTCTTGCCCTGAGAGCTTCTCCCCAGCCCTTGAACTGGACTTTCTCTTTCTACCCACCACCCCCCACATACCCGTCACCTCCTTCCTGGTTTTAGGGTCACACCCAGTGGTGTTCAGGGCTTACTTCTGTGCTCAGGGGCCACTCCTGTGGGTCTGGGGAGATGAACCCAGGTCAGCCGCATGCAAGGCAAGTGCCCTCCTGCCATCCTATGGCTCTGGCCCCAGAACTGGCCTCCTTACTGTTGGTTTTAGTTTTCTGTTTTATCTGTTGCTATGCAGTAGATGCAAGCCTTCGCCTGGTTGAAAGCAGGCTGTTCTTCTCCCAGTAAATCGGAGGGGCTCTGAGCCTGTCTCCCTCATTTCCTGCAAGTGTTTGCCCCGTGTCTTCTTGGCGCGACTTTCCAAGGCCTTGTGAACATAGCTGAAATGCAAACCAGTCTCTCCCGCTCACTTTACTTCTCCCTTTCTTGCTGTTTTTCTTTCGCGGCACTTTCTCTCATGTGCCAGTTTATATTTATTATCTTCATATTGCTAAGTTCATTTCTTGGAGTAGAGTGTAAGCTCCACAGAGGTAAGGATATTTATTGTATTTTTCTCTCCTGCTTGGGAGAAAGAATAGATGTGCAAAAAAAGGAAAAAGTCTGGACTGACTCATTTGGCAAACAGGTATTTAGGGCTCTGTTGAAACTGTGGTGTTAGAGTGGATGTGGTTAGTATAGTTTTCCGTGATTGCCAATATCAATCAGCTTTTGTGCCAAGTGGAGAGTGTCTTCCTCTCATTAGAACCAGTTCTAGTTTTTCCAAGGGTAGTTCAGTGGTAGAGACCAGCCTTGCCTTTGGGAGGCCGTGCTCTGTCTCCAGCTGCTGTGTGGGCTTCGGTGAGCGAATCACACAATAGCATCCTCGCGGTAATGGGAAGAGCAGGGAGACGAAAGAAAGAAGAATCCACACCAGTTCTTCAACTGGCTGTGCATTTATATGATTCACGAGTTCACGCCGGATCTGTCCCTTTCACGGCTGACTAGTATTCTTTCCTCCAGGGCACCTGGAGGCTCAGAGAAGCGGGTAATAGGCTGGTGACGGTGACCCTCGGGACTTTTGTTCCTTGGTTGATTCATTTTGGCCACACCCGGTTATTGCCTCTGTGCAGTGCTGGGGGCCACTTCCGGCCCAGCTGGGAGACCTTGCGGTCCCAGAGACCAGAGCCTGGGTCCCCACCCCCGGAGCCACCTCCCAGGCCAGCGCTGGCCTTCTCTGCAAGTAGGGGCCAGGGACAGTGGCGTGACAGTTTGTTTGATGCCTCCCACATCTACAAATTGGTTCTTGATTGAAAAAGACAGCTTTTCTGTTAGCCTCTAAATAGTAAAATAGTTTGTCTTTTTTTCTTTGTTTTGGGGCCGGTGATGCTCAGGGGTTACTCCTGGCTCTGCACTCAGGAATCACTCCTGGCCGTGCTTGGGGGACCATATGGGATGCTGGGATCAAGTCTGGGTTGGCCACATGCAAGGCAAGCACCCGACCCTCTGTGCTATTATTTTGGCCCCTAGAATAGTTTAAGAAATTCCTCAGTAAGGGCATTGTTTTGCATTTCTCAGGCCCACAGACAAAAGACTCAGATGGGCGTCTGTGAGAGGGAAGAACTACCACATCAATCCTCGGCCAACAAAGCCAACGCCATCTTTCCCAATTTCTTGAGGATCTGGGCAAATAAGTAGGACAGCTCGTGGTCTTATAAACTTCATTTTTAAAAAATGGTGTTAATAGGTTGTGGTCTGTATTGGGATTTGGAAGTAATTATAAGTTCCTAATGAGAGGTTCTTTCTTGATTGCTCATCTCTTAAAAATAGGCTAGTCTACTTAGTCGCTCGTCTTCCCTGACCTCACCCCCTTGGAAAGAAGTCAAGGCCTTTTCTATTCTCTTGACCCCTAGCCGTGGAAGGGCTGAGAAGCAGTGATACACAAGATCCTTCTTGTTTGTCGCTATTGTTTAGAATTTTTTCTCAAAAAACTATCAGATATAAACAGAAAAAATGCAGTCTCCAGAAGCCAACAGCGCTGAGCACTCCAGTGAAACGCAGCCTCGTGCGGAGACTCATTTGCTGCACACCCTTGGGAGCGCCTGACCACCCGCAAGGGAATCCCAGCTCTGGCCTCTAACATCGGGGGCTCATTTTGTTTGTTTGGGGGCCAGCGCGATAGGAATGTGCCTTGCACACAACTGACCCGGGTTTGATCCCCGGCACCCCAAAGGGCTCCCCAGGCACCGCCAGGAATGATTCCTGAGTACAGAGCCGGGAGTCACCCCTGAGCACCACAGAGTGTGAGCCTCAAACCAAAAAAAACACACCCATTTTGTTTGTTTGGCATTGTTTTTGGGGCCACGCCTAGTGGCGCTCAAAGGCTCTTCCTGGCTTTGTGCTGAATAGTCACACCTGGTGGGGACTGGGACCGGGGCGCCGTGCCCTGTGTTCGGGATTGAGCCAGGATTGGCCACATGCGGGATATGCTCTTCACGCTGTGCAGTGTCTCCCCGTCATGGCGTACTTGGTCTTCTTTCTGGCTTTTTTTTTTTTTTTTTGGCAGGGTGGACTAGGAGGGGCACACCTGGCCGAGCTTGGGGACCATGTGGTTCCCGGAGTCAGCCTCTGGGCTCCAACGTGCAAAGCATGCACTTCAGCCTTACCGCTCTGACCTTCTGGCTTGTCTCATTCTGGTTTCAGTTTCTGTTTTCATAGTGCTGGGGATCAGACCCAGGGCCTCTCTTATGCAGGGCAGTGAGCTGTGTCCCCAAGCTGCCTGCCTACCCCGGGCCTAGATCCCTAGTCCCCTTTCTGACTTCTCTGGTTTAGATTCTGGATACTGTTGCATGTTTCATAGGCCATCCATTCTTGTGACTGTGTAGTATAACCGCAATCTAGCCATCCCTTCGGGTGCTGATAAACATTTAGTTAGCTTCCAGTTACTGGATTTTATAAATCTCTCATGGAGAACTTCTTGTATGTCTTTTGGTGAGCGTAGAAACAATGCCAGTGGCCTCCGAGCAGAGTTGTGTGCCATGCCTCTTCTCTGCAGTAGGAGACAGTTTCATCTGCTCCCTTGCTGCGCTCTGTTTTCTGCCTTTTCAAATGAGTGGAACCCTGCATTTTCACAGGCTTTCCCCACACAGTCACTATAGAAGGGTGCAGCCTTCTCTTGGGCAGACACCCACAGGCTTTGGGATCTGGCTGGCCCCTGTGCCCAGGCCCAGGCTCCCTCATTGTAAAGGGGCCTGTGAAGAGTTGCTGGGAGGAGCGTGGGATGTGTGGGCCGGCCTGGCCCGAGTGTGTGGACCACAGGGCTACACACTCATCCTCTGGCGGTATTTTAGGTATTTGGTCAGCTGAATGTGACCCGGCTTCTTTCAGATGTGTTAGTATAGAATTGTCCTTTTCTACATGTTTCCCTGGATTTACAAAGCATCCCTAAGAATAGGAAAAAATGAGGTGGACATCATAAGGGGATGTGATTAAAGAGTTGAGACCTCCTGGCCGAGTCATGCTCTTCTGGGCACTTCATTGTTAGGAATTGTCTTGGACTCCAAAGAGTCATTAGTCAGGAGGCATCGGACTATTTTGGACTGACCCTACATTTGAAGGAAAATGTCCAGATTTGAAATGATTCGATACAGAGACTTGAGACTTTTTTTTTTATAAGCAAAAATGGACCAGGATGTGGTGGTCTCTGAGGGACCCCCACCGCACTGCCAGGGGCAGAGGAGCAGTGACCATGGGTAATTTCCATAGAGGAAGTGATGCATCAGTAGCGCAAACTCAGTAGTAACGCACCAGTAACGTCTCCATTGTGAGACTTGTTGTTACTGTTTTTGGCATATTG